GCAAACTATTATGTTTTAATGTTTGAAATTATTGACATAATACGCATGTCTCCTTTTACAAAATACCTCTGTTGCTCAGTATGATGGCACATGTCTATTGTCCCAGTGGAATCAGATCTCAGGCAGAAAATTCAAGACCAGCCTAGCTTAAAAAAGGAAATCCTATCAAAAATCTTTTACATGAGCAAGGTGCCAGTGGCTCATGCCTGTAATCCTAGCTATTCAGGAGACTGACAATCAGGGTTTGAAGCTAGCCTTGGGCAGGAAAGTCCATGAAACTCTCATCTTCAATTAATCACATAAAAAGCCAGAAATGGCTCTGTGGCTCAAGTGGCAGAGTGCTAGCCTTGAGCAAAAGGAGCTCAGGGACAGCACCAAGGGCCAGAGTTCAAACTCCATGGCCAGAAAAAAAAATATTTTTCATGGAAAATAAAACCATAATATAACTAAAACCATCTTTGAGAAAGGAAACACTTCTTACTGTAGGGCATATTTTCTGCCACTATTCCTGGGTCTCTAATGTCACTTTGATATTGTAGCTGAAAAGTGCAAGATGCATGCCTGTAAGGCAATCTCTTCCCTGGCTTCTTTCTCCATAACTTCAGCTACAACCCCCCTCCAATTTTCCAAACCTAAAGAAAGTCCAGTGTATTGCTGTGCATCCATTCTCCTGCCTTTGTGTCTAGGATTCCCACTTTGCTTCTTCAAAGTGCAGACAATGCTCCAGGCGTGCTGCTCCCAATCTCAGGGACCTGAGTCTCCACCATGCCCAGTTCCTCAGGACTCTAACACCTGCACCAAGTTCTGGAGACAGACACACATTCCACACTAGCATTTCTTAAGCAGGAAGTAGACAATAAGAGAAGCTTAGGGAAACCTAGAGCCATGGAAACAAGGTAGGAATGTTTAGGGACTCCAACACAAGTGTGTGCTGAAAATTCAGGCTGGTTCCTAGGATATAGCAAACTAGGGGCCTGACTGTCCTGTTCTAGGACGTACATTTGATGAATGAACAAATGAAATAGGTTTCCCATCGTCCTGCATTGACAAATAGCTGACTGGTGATTCAAAGTGGTAGCTGGGACAGGAAAGGGACATGGTCAGTTAGAACCAAAATAAACCCTTAGACTATAGCATGCAATGACTCTACAGTATTGCTAGTTGAAGTGTAGTCTGTGGAGGGTCAACATTATCATCACTTGGGAGTTATAATGCTAGACATGCCTAACTCCAGCCCTATCTCAGAACTTCCAGATGAGAATCTGCATATTAAAATTATTTCCAATGATTAAAATGTGTATTTGAGGAACACAGATTCAGGAAACACACACATACACAATCACCAAGACTAAGCTTGTAACTCCTTTCTTCTGTACTTCCATCAAAGCCATAAAAATGTCAGATGATTATTCACCATAGGCACTACCCTCCATTTTGGCATCTCTCCAAAATGTTTCAAAGAATAAACTCTATGTTATTCTCCCCAGGCCTCACCTTCCTTCTGCACAAGCTGAGCCCAGCACATCTAAACAACTGCCAGTGGAATTAAACACTGCTTCCTTTGGACACAATGATTGTAGAGATTGGAGAAATCACCAAGAGGGGAGGGAAAAGAGGGGAAGAGAGAGAGAGAGACAGAGAGACAGAGAGAGAGACAGAGACAGAGAGAGAGACAGAGACAGAGAGAGAGAGAGAGAGAGAGAAGAGAGAGAGGAGAGAGAAACACTGCAAATGTGGTTTGGCCAAGTAAAAGCAATACCAATAACAATAATTTGTAAAAATGGCTTGCCAGATGTATCTTATCACCAGACAGGAAAATTATGATTAAGGAAATCATTTAATGTGCAGCTGATTCATTTGTAAAGGTTTATTTGATTATATCATTGGTAATCCCAAACTTATGGCCAGAGCTAGACTCTGGACTTCTGCCTTTAAATCTCCAGCATAGACACATAAATATTCTGCTCGTTCAGAACTTGGAAAGGAGAAAGAGCTTTTAACTCTCCATTCTAGGCTATTGTTTGGTTAAGGGAAAGAGAAAAATCCTTAAGCATTGTTGGGAGGGGGAAGGACTTCTAATGAGTAGTAGGCTCCAAGTCCAAGAAATGCTGCATTCCCCCCCCCAAAAAAAAAGCCATCACTCCCAATTCTGCTTCTCATTGCTTTTCTTTCTTTCTTCCTTTCTTTCTTCTTTTCTTTCTATCATTTCTTTCTATCATTTGTTTCATTTCTTTCTTTTTTTTTTTTGTCGGTTGTGGGCTTGAACTCTGGGCCTAGGCGCTGTCTCTTAGCTCTTAATCTCAAGGCTAGCACTCTACCACTTGAGCCACAGTGCCACTTTCCTGCCTGGGCTGGCTTTGAACTGTGATCCTCAGATTTCAGCTTCCTGTGTAGCTAGGATTACAGGCATGAGCCACCAGCGCCCAGCTTCTCATGGCTCCCTCTTTATACTACTATATGGCTCTTAGAAGTAAAAACTCACATTTTAAGAGACCAGGCTTTGTATCCTAACCACATGAGTCAAAATTCACTCTCTACCTATTACTAGCTAGCTGTGTGACCTTGGCAAAGTTAACTTCCACCTACAACTGTAAGATACAGGAACCAATATCACAGAGTTGTGAAGATTACGTGGGACAACACAAGCTGGGCGCTGGCGGCTCACACCTGTAATCCTAGTTACTCAGGAGGCTGAGATCTGAGGATCATGGTTCAAAGCCAGCCTGGGCAGGACAGTCGGTGAGACTCTTATCTCCAATTAACCACCAGAAAACCGGAAGTGGCACTGTGGCTCAAGTGGTAGAGTGCTTGCCTTGAGCTGAAAAGCTGAGGGACAGCACCCAAGCCCAGAATTCAAGCCCCACTACCACCAACAACAACAAAAAAAATTACAGTGTCTGACACATAATAAATAATCAATGTTAGCTATTATTAGTACTTCACTGAGCCTGGTTTCAGTTAGAGATGGTTGTGTTTATGTCTCCCTCCCATACTAGATCAAGACAAGCTGTTTATATACCAAGCAACTGGCATAGGAACTTACAAATGGTGGACACACAATAGTACTTGTTGAATTGATTTGAAGGTATGCCAGGAAGAGGAAAGGGAGGGTGTGCTGGCAACAAATTGAATGTACTTTATCATTTTAACCAGGGCCAACCTCTGTAGTGTTTGTTTTTCTTTCACTGTGAGAGCACCCTGTCTCAGGCACCAAGGTTGCTATGAAGTGGGTCTGGGAAGCTCAGAAACAGCAGAGAAATACCAGGACACATTTAAAATCTCCAGTTTGGCTCTTTGCTGAATAGGGGATGGATCTAAAACTCAGCTAAACTTGGTTCTCTGGCAGAGTCATGTTAGCAGTAAACATCATCCATGGTGAGAGGAGACACATTTTGATTTTATGTATCTACCTACAAGAATGTCTTTACAGATTGTGCAGAGTTGCAGGCACCAGCAAGGTAGAAGCCGCTTCCTGACTTTTAAGTGAAAATTAGCTAAGATAAAAATACTTATTTACTAGATCCTTATTAAGTGCTCATTAAGGAGCTCAAGGTGCTCATGACTGGTCAGTATCTTCCTGACTTGCACAGAGATCAGGGTATACCACCCCATGGGGAAAGATAGCATCTTCTTTAAGATGGACAGTACTTCAAGAACCTGTCATGGGAGCTGGCAAGTGTAACCACCAAGTGACTCACAATAAGGATGTCAGAAACCTGTAGTGGATCTGATGAAGAAGACTCTGGGTTTACTCCAAACACTGGCCACTGCATCTCTCCTGGATCTTCCTGAATCAGCATTCAGTCAGTCAGCTTCTGAGTGGCTTCTAGCAGCAAGTCCTCTAGGACTGCTGCACAAGCACCCACATTGGGCCCCTGACTTCTGTGCTTCTATGATGATGGAGGTCTCTCTCCTACCATCCTGTCCATGCTGAAAATCATGTGGTTATGAGTTTGAAGACTCACTTTGAACAAGGCAAAAACAAAGAAATTGTAACTAAGGAAGTGTGGAAGGTGGTTTAAGGGGCAGGAATATAGATACATATAATTGTCACCTTCAGCATGAAGAGTGAGATACTGTAGAAACATCCAAGATGGGATCTAACTTGGGCTCAAAGTACTGGAGAAGGCTTAAAGGGTTTGTAATCCTCATGGTTAGGCTTGAAGGAGCAATAGCAACAGCAAACACTCAATGAGCACCTATCACTTATCAGACCCTTTTCTAAGACCCTTGTATGGATCTTCCCGTATTGTCCTGACAACAACAATATGAAACAGATATTCTTTTCATTTTACAGGTAAGAAACTGAGGCACACAGTAAATGATAGAGCCAAGATTTCAAATGAAGCAAGTTAGCTTCAGAATGAAGTAGTAAAGGGGGTAAATTGCCTTAAGGTGCAGGAAAGTGCCTTGCAACAATCTAAGAGGAAGGGAAAGAGCAGTTCCCTTGGGGAACTGAAAGTAGCCCAGTAGTGATGACTTAGCTGGGAGAGGGGGGAGGATGTTGGGGCAGAAGTTCACAGATGACTGGGCTCACTCTGTAGGTAGAAGAGAAATGAGAAGCAGGGAATTTCTGGTCTGATCTAGACTCTTCAACAGCTAGCTGTATGATTCATATCACCTAACACTTCTTGACAGTTCACCTCTTTTGTAAAAGGCCATAAGAACAATATCCACTTTTCTCTCATAAAGAATGCCCTTGAGCACCAAATGAGAAAAATGTATATGAACCTGATTGCGAAGTTCAAGTTCCTTCACATACCTGAGATTTTATCAGCATCATTTCTCCAGGTAGCTTCAGGAATTCACAAATGTTAAGGCATCTGGGAGAGCCTTGTGAGCAGCACAGTGCAAGGGGTGGGGAGCAGAAAAGCCCTTATATAGATCCTGCTCACAGCAACATTCACCACTTCCTAACTATGTCATTCCCAGGATGAGTTATTTTCCCAGTTCCTCAACTTCCTCATCTGGAAAATGGGGATACTAATGACAGTACTTACCTTCAATGGCTGAAGTGAGGACTAAACAGCACATGTGTGGAGTAAGCTTAGAACAGCTCCCAGCACAGAATTAAAGATTTAGTCAACCTTAACAGCTATCATTACTTTAACTGTAAGCAATCTGTTGGCTCTTCATCTTATTCCTCCACAGTCTTTGTGATAAAAATGTGCTGGTATATTTAAAGTCAGGGATGAAGGTTTGAGACTCTACTTTCCTTCACTCCTGCAGAGATTCTTCCAGGCTTCTAAAGTCTGGCAAGCAGCTGGCTCTCTGTCCTGGCAGAAAATGCCCAAAAGAGGTAAAAAGACAGAGCATGCACACCATTTGTGCAAACATGCTGTTCTTGTGGTTTGAAACAAAATATAAATGTAGTCAGTCAGATATGACCTGCTCTTTTGAGACAGAACTCTCTTATGCTTCCCTTCACTCCTCCTTACCCTTCACTGACAAGCACACTCTCCCACACATCTCAGGAAACTCTCAGCCTTTTGTAAGACTTGCTCCAGGGTCCTGTTGTGACAGCCTTTTGCCACATTAACTTATCCATCCAACTCCCAGCAGGGAAGCCTTTGCTAATTTCACCACAGCAAAGTACACAGGAAATTCAAAAACAAATCTACACAGAACCCAGCATCTTCAAGAAAATACATTGCTGAGGATCTAACACAGGCTAGATGACTCCAGACTGTAGATGAAGCAGCTGCCAGTTAAAGCAGCAAGGGAACAACAACAAAATCCATTCGCCTCTAAAAAGCACAATTTGCATACAATTAATATTCATGAGTTCATCCAGCTGGCTCAAGATTCACTCTTGATTAAAACCCTGAGCTTTGCTTCCTAAAACTTTTCCCAAGTTCTTTCTCTGCCTCCTCTCACAAGGAAGAGGGTGGGAAAGTTCATTCAGGGCTTTTTGCCTCTAGTTCTTTCAAGTACTTGCTTTTGATCTAGGCTTCCCCCCCCCCCTCCTTTTTTCTTAACACTTCGGATCAAATCAGTTTGGTCTTACCTTCTATATCTTCCATAAGTAGCAGCTTTTGTTTCCTTCCTCTTTCTTAGTTTTGTTTTCTGTTTTTTGTTTTTCCAGCCTGGATTGCTGTGGTCGGTCTTAGTGAGAGAGGTACTCAAGGATCAGAGATATAACAGACCCTTGGGCTTGTGGGAGGGGCTAAATTAGCCAGCCCCGTTTCGGAAGGAACCTCGAACCCTATGTGTTTTTCATTGACAGAAAGGACAGATTGGCCGAAGAGTCTAACAGCTCATTTCCCTAGTTACTCAAAGGCTTGCCTGCCTCGTGTTGCAGCTTTTCCTGTTCTTGAACAAATGTATTTCCAAGCTCCCTCTCTCCTTTTCTTCTCCCTCCTTTCATCCCCCCCCCCTCTTTTCTTCCTTTCATGTCTTATGTCTTTTCTCTCTCTGTAATAGAAATCCAGTTTCTCTCCCTAGGAAAAGTCATCTTGACTACAAGCAAAAAAAAAAAAAAAAAAAAAGTTACTTAAGTTTTACAATTATGAAGCCAAATAACAATACATTTGTTATGCTGGAGAAATCTATAAAGGCAAGAACTTTTTTTTCTGCCCCATAAGGTAGATCACTTCTGATCCCAAGACAGACAGCAATCCTTTTCAGGATCATTATGACAGAAGCTCATCAGGTCACTCAAGCAATGTCCAATTGCAGGAGAAGCCAGGAGGCAAAGGAGGCTGCTGGCTGGAACCTTTTTTTTTTTTTCCTGGCTCAGGGCCTGGGTGCTGTCCCTTGGCTTTTGCTCTCAGGTTTGGTACTATACCACTTGAGCTACAGCTCTACTCCTGCCTTTTTTTGGTGTGTGTGTGGTTAATTGGAATTAAGAGTCTCATAGACTTCCCTGCCTATGGTAGCTTCAAGTTTGATCCTCTGATTTTAGCCTAGGATTACAGGCATGAGTCACTGACTCCCCGTGGGAACCTCTATCTTGGCACAGGTCATTCACCTTTTCCCAACTTTGATTTCATACCTCCATAAGCTAACCTTCTATATGAATTGGCTTGCCATACCTAGACTTTACAAGATGATCTAAATGTCTGACCAGATCATTTTAAAACTATTTTCAAGCTACTATTTTAAAAATTATTTTTAATGTACAAAGTTTTTTTGAAACTAAGACAAGTGCTAACCCTCTTACATGAAGGTAAGTCCTCAAAGCCTTAGGCAGTTTCTCCCTCCACCGAGTGGTTACAAACCTCAATCAGCATTTGAGGTTTGACAGAGATCTCAGATATCCAGTCTAATCCAGGGATAGATGCAGTTAAAGAAAGGACCTGCTCCGATTGGTGCAGATAAAGAGCAGGAAACTGGTTTCCCCATGGTCCAAGTAAGGTTTCTTCCACACAGTGGGAACTCAGGAAATGTTCCATAAATAAATGTTGGATGAACGAATGAATGAATGAATGCATAGCAAGAAAGTTGGAAGGCAGACCTGGCTTCCAGATTCCTGACATTTTTTCCTACATTGTTTTATCATCACACATTTTGTGTCTAAAGCTAATTATACTGTAAGGCATCTTTTTGTTCCACTATTAGATTGGTGACCACCAAGGATTGATTTCTGTCTATACAGAGACTACAGTTCCCATTATACTTTCAGTCATTCACTATACTTTCAGTCAATGCAAGGACTGAATTTAGTTTAGACATCTCATTTAATAGTACATTAATATTATTATGAATGTTATTAACCAAATAAAAAATTTTGAATTCTCTAATGAATATGGAGCTATATAACAATACTTTGTCTCACTAAATAGGGTACTTACAGGATTTTGTATTTATAATAATAACTAATTTTACTAAATGAAAAAAATCCAATAGATGCCTTTTCCAGAGCCAGTTAGACTGTAGCTTTAATAATGAATAATGGTTTGTTATGTTGTTTTTAAGAAATTATGATAGTGTTACAGACTGGTGGCTCATGTTGTAATCCTAGCTACTCAGGAGGCTGAGATCTGAGGATCATGGTTAGAAGTCAGGTCAGGTTGGAAAGTCTATGAGATTCTTTTTTGTTTGTTTATTTGTTTTTGGTCCGGTTGTGGGGCCTGAACTCTGGGCCTGGGTGCTGTCCCTCAGCTCTTCAGCTCAAGGCTAGCGCTCTACCACTTGAGCCACAGCGCCACTTATGGCTTTTTTCTTTTTGCTTATGTTGTGCTGAGGAATTGAACCCAGGACCTCAGGCATGCAAGGCAAGCATGCTACCACTGAGCCACCTTCCCAGCCCCTCTATGAGATTCTTATCTCCACAAAAAACTGGAAGTGAGCTGTGGCTCAAGTGGTAGATTGTAGTCTTGAACACAAAAGCACCCAGGCCTAGAGTTCAAGCCCAAGGACTGGCAAAAGAAAGGAAAAGAAGAGGGGGGGGGAAGGGAAGAAGGGAGGGAGGGAGGGAGGGAGGGAGGAAGGAAGGAAGGAAGGAAGGAAGGAAGGAAGGAAGGAAGGAAGGAAGGAAGGAAGGAAGGAAGGAAGGAAAGCAGGCAGGGAAGGAAAGAGAGAGGGAAAGAGGGAGGGAGGGAGGAAGAAAGGAAGGGAGGGAGGGAGGGAGGGAGGGAAGGAAGGGAAGGGAAGGGAGGGAGGGAGGAAGGAAGATGGATGATAGAGCCTAGCACCAGTAACTCATACATGTAATCCTAGCTACTCAGTTGGCTAAAATCTGTGGATTGTGGTTCGAAGCCAGCCCAGGCAGGTTTGAAGTTCATGAGACTCTTATCTCCAATTAACCACCAGAAAACCACCAGAAGTAGAGCTGTTGTTCAAAGTGACAGAGTGCTAGTCTTGAGCAGAAAAGCTCAGGGACAGCACCTTGGCCTTGAATTCTGACAAAAAGAAAAGAAAAGAAATAGGATATTTGTCAATATCAATAATCTTTATGAATTTATGAATGCCTTTGTACTACTGTTTGGGGGGGATATGAGAAACAGCATGCTTACAACAAGCTTGTGAACTACAGGATGGAAACCAGACTATCAAAGCCCTCCCTCCCCAAAAAAGAACTTAATGATTGAGGGAAAGATCTAGAATGTATGAGGGGATCAGGTACACACCTGTATCTGTCAATGAGTGCCTTACTGTGGGCACTGAAGCAAAGTTCTTCATTTTAAACAAAATTATAATTCAAAGCAACTCCTATCATGTCCTACTTGCATACTGTCAAATAAAGGTGACTTCACTCATTCTGTTAGTCTCCTTTGGCCTCATGGAAGAGGACATCGAAAGACCTGTGCAAATTCTAGCTCAACCAGGAAAGGTAAAATTCTCATTTGTATCTAACGCTTTATAAAAATGTAAAGTTCATCTGACTTGGCTACACAGTAAAAGAAACAAAGTTTTAGTGCCTAACTCATTTACATGGACCTTCTGGTGATATTTAATGCTTTTTGATGGTAGCATGCTCTACTCTGTGCTTCAAGTTAATCATATTGTCCAGTGTACACACACTCTCAGCATGGTGAAAATGTTATGGTTAAGTATGTATTACCTACCATTCACACAAGAATAAGTTACAAAAGAAATAGAGGAGGAATCTGTTTAAAGACTCAAGACCTTATCTTAAAAATCAAATCTTGTAGTCTGGGAATGTGGCTTAGTGGTAAAGTGCTTGCCTAGCATGCATGAAGCCCTGGGTTCGATTCATCAGTATCACATACACAGAAAAAGCTGATAGTGACACTGTGATTCAAGTGGTAGAGCACTAGCCTTATGCAAAAGAAGCTCAGGGACAGTGCCCAGGCTGGCCAAAATAAAGTTAAGTCTGGTTTCTAAAAAAAAAAATCATACTTATCAAAGTTATTAGTTTTTTGCAATAGAAGTAGTAAATACAAATAAAAGAAAGGTTGGACAAATGGGATTGCATGAAACTGAAGCAAAGGACATAGCTAACAAGATCAATAGAAAGCCCACGGATTGGGAGATCTTCACTAGCCATACAATGGACAAAGGCCTCATATCTAAAATATACTTAGAACTCAAAAAATTAACTCCTCAACAACAAATCCTCAAAGAAACAACTGTCCAATTAATAAGTGGGCTAAAGACTTAAAGACAGACTTCTCTGAAGAGGAAATAAGAATAGCCAATAGACCATAAAAGAAATGCAAATCAGGGCTGGGAAGGTGGCTCAGTGGTAGAGTGCTTGTCTCCCATGCATGAGGCCCTGGGTTTCATTCCTTAGCACCACATAAGCAGAAAAAACTGGAAGTGGCAGAGCACTTGCCTTGAGCTGAAGAGCTGAGGGACAGAGCCCAGGCCCAGAGTTCAGGTCCCACAACTGACAAAAAAAAAAAAGAAAGAAATGCAAGTCAAAACAACACTGACATTCTACCTTACCCCAGTTAGAATGGCTATAATCAAGAAATCAAGAAAGTTAATAACAACAGATGCTGGAGGGGATGTGGCCAAAAGGGAACCCTACTGCATTGTTGGTGGGAGTGTAAACTTGTTCAACCACTTTAGAAAGCAGTATGGAGGTTCCTCAAAAGACTATACATAGAGCTCCTATGACCCAGCAATCCCACTTTTGGGCATTTACCCAAATGATCACAAACA